CTTGGTCCAGGGGAATGAAGTCCCTCACCTCGGAGCTAGCCTCGGTTGGAGCTTCACGGCTCCCTGGTTGGGGTCCAAAAGACGGTGAACACGTTTGGCTGGATACACTTGCTGACATGGCAAGGAGCCGACCTCAGTGGCGTTCATGCTGTGAGTTTCTTTGTCCCTCCCCATCCCTTTTAGCCTCCCCATCCATCTACGATCTCATTTTCTAGGGTAAAACATATTTTTTTTCTTTTTGCATAGTAGCTAGCTGGAAGCTTACCGGAACGATGCCTATCCGTTGCTGGTAGCTCAGCTGGCATGCAACTGTTGTATCTACTTCTCCTTTGTGTATTGTATGTATGTATGTATGTATTTCCTTCGTGTATTGCGGCACAATAGCGGAGGTGTTTTTCCCACCTCTAGCTGATGTGTATAATGAATGATGAATGACCTATCGGTCAGATGCTTAATACCAAGGTCCCGCAAGTCTTCCGTGCAATGGTATCGTTTCCATCCGCCACTGATGCTGCTAAACATCACATCGTTAAAAAAGGTTCGCCTGTTTTCGCCCAAGCCAGGCGAATGACCCCTGACAAGTTAAAAAAAGCTCGCGCAGAATTCGAGCACATGCTTGAACTAGGCATTGTTCGCCCGTCCAAAAGTCTGTGGGTCTCGCCACTCCACATGGTGCCCAAAAAGTCAGGAGACTGGCGTCCATGTGGTGATTACCGCGCACTCAATAACTTTACTGTTCCCGACCGCTTTCCTATTCCTCACATTCAGGACATCACGGCTAGCCTGCGCGGCACCTGGGTGTTCTCGAAAATCGATCTGGTTCGCGCGTATCACCAGATTCCAGTCGCTGAGGAAAAAAATACCGAGAACTGCCGTAAGCATGCCGTTTGGACTCGTCGAATTTTTGCGTATGCCCTTCGGTCTTCGCAACGCGGCCCAGACTTTTCAACGATTCAGTCACTAGAGGTCTAGATTTCACACAGTGACGATATCCTAGTTGCCAGCGCTTCCAAAGAACAACAAGCAAAACATCTCAAAATTCCTTTTCATAGGCTGGCCGCTAATGGCGTCACTGTCAACCCTGACAATTGCGTATTTCAGTAGCCTGCCGTCGAATTTTTTGGCCACCATATTGATCAGTATGGCATACGGCCTCTAAACGATTGACTCCGCGCCATCAGCGAACATTGGAACATTGTATTTAATGGGAATAAAAGCTGGAGCTTTACATGACCCATGGGGTAAAAAGAGTACGGGTCGGGTTCAATGAAAGGCCAAGCAACCTTATAGCGGGTTGGACTCGCGTGTTAGCCGTATCTTCATCGAGCTTATGTGGCAATTAAACAGAATGCACGTCGGCTCAAAGCGAGACATCCCACCACGCCCTCCGAAACGGCTTTGGAAAGGAAGGTGGAAGAAAAAAAATAAAGAAATTCCATCCAGTAGAATGTAGTTAAATTAGGGAATATCGCGGTGTAGCTCGGCCAGATGACAGTCCAAGCGGGCCTTAAAGTCCGCCACAGTGGGTGCCAAGACTAAATCGGCCGGCAGAGCATTCCACAGTCGGCAGATTCGCAAAGAGAAGTAGTATCGTCTGCAGTTCAGCCGACTGTGCTGATGTGTGAGCCTCAGTGGGTGGCCACGTAGGTGGGAGCCCGATTGGTGCAGTGTGAGTAGGTGGCGACAGGGATGTCCAGGGTTGGATAAGATCATGAATACGAGGATCAGGTCGCCCCGTAGACGTCGGTACTTAAGCGAGTAGAGGCCCAGGCACTGAAGTCGTTGTGGATAATCTAGGTGCTTGAGACCTCGGACCAGTTTGGTTGCTCGACGTTGTGGGGCTTCGAGTATGCGTTAGTCCTTCAACAACCAAGGGCTCCAAGCCTGAATAGCGAACTCCAAGTGGGGTCGGAGAAAAGCGTTAAGGAGGAGGCGGAAATTGCTGGGGTCAATTTGATCGAAGGCTCGTTTCAGCAATCCCACCATGCGGTTAGCAGCAGCAGCTGCTTTCCGGCAGGAAGCGGATACGGAAAGACTCGTCTGGGTAATGATACCCAAGTCTCTTTCGGCTGAAGAGATCCGGAGGATAGACGCTCCCAGGTAATATACAGGAGAAAAAGCGGAAGGGCGGGTAGAAAGGACGCGACATTTCGAAGCGTTAAATGGAAGATTATTTTCTATGGACCACTGATGTAGACGGTCGAGGTCCGTCTGAAGTGCGTGGGCATCGTCCGGAAGGTTAATTGTGCGCCACAGCTTGGCGTCATCCGCGTATAGTAGCAGCGAAGACTCCACTTGCGGTGTGACGTCGTCAATGAAGGCGATCTTCCGGTCCCGACTACGTTAGCCGCTATTTGCCGTTTTAATGGCATGCTAAAGTATTAACGACGTTTCTTTCCACACTGTGCCAATTTGCTAAGTCCACTAACCGACCTAGTTCGTGGACGTAAAAACGGCTGCTGCTGCCGAAGCGTTCAAGGCCAGCAAAGAAGCCTTAGCCAAAGGCGTTATGTTTTATCATTAAGATCCGAACGCTCCGCTCAGTTTGCTGTTGACGCATCGGCACCGCCAAAAGGCGCAGTCCTACAGCAACATACAAATGGATGCTGCCCTGCTAGCACATGAAGTCCTTTTCTCGGTCGTCAAAGTCCTTCAGTAAATTATTGGTGTCTACTTGATCTACTCCGTATTCCAGCAAGGGCTGTACATATGTGTGTAGGTTACGTTAACTGATAACTAAGCATAACATTGGTTAGCCGCTTTATTCTGTCGAAAAATCGCACATGGTTACTTAGAGAGGATTATCGGGAGTGGCTAATTGTCGACATGAAAAATTGGTCTGAGGGACTTCGTGTTCCGGTACACCATGCTAAATGATGATGCTTTCATAATTGGATAAATTCAAGTTCAAGCGGGACTGGAACGATAGGATGATCCCATGAGTGTTCCTTCTTCGGCGGGTCGTTGAACCAGGAGTTGGCGAACTTTGAAATACTGATGGACCTAAAACAAAGACCGCATCACATCCTGTCCAACCAATTAATGCCCACGTATCCTGCCCTAAAAGTCCCTGCTGGGCCGGTTACGTGAAGTAAGAAAGAGAAAAAAGTAAACGCAGAAGGCAAAAGAGAAAGTGGAAGGAGCTAAGTAAGTGGAATACCAAGATATTTGAGTCATTAAAAAAGAACTGAAAAGTGAAGGTGAGTCAGCTAGGAAAAAGGAAAGGTTTGCTGTTGCCACCCAAAAGCATCGAGCTGGCGCGCAAAACCCTTAACCGCAGATTCCCTAACTACGTGATCTGGAAGCGAATTCCAACGATCTACAACTCGGCGCGATAGACGAGTTTCCGTCTTAATCCTATCAGACCGTCGTTTATGCAGTTTCAGTGGGTGACCGCGGAGATTAGGTAACGTAGCGGGACTGAATAGCCCTGACAAGTCCGGGCCAATCTTACTCGTCAAAATACGATAAGTGAGAATCAGATCCCCTCTTATCCTTCGGTAGTGCATGGAGTACATACCCAAACTGAGCAAGCGTTCAGGATACGTCTGTCCCCGTAGACACTTTATTAACCGAGTGCCCACTCGTAACACCCTCTCCAAGTCCATTTTGTCGCGGTTAAGACATGGTGGACAAGCCTGAATACAATATTCCAGATGGGGTCGGACGAATGCCGAAAATAGCTTCACAAACAAATTGGCCGTTAAGATTCCGAAAGAGCGGCGGATAAATCACATCATACGAAACCCTCGACAAGCAGTCTTCCTCCAGTTGTCTCCAGAATGAAGTGCTGATGTGTGAACGACTCCTAAATCAACCTGCTGAGTGACAACAGAGAGTGCACCACCGCCGACAACATATCGCGTGGGGGGATTTGCCGCTCCGATTCGGAGAACAGAGCGCTTAGCCCTATTTATGGGCATCAACCATAAGGTAGACCATTCCCAAAGCCTATCCAAGGCACGTTGAATTGCCTCAGGAACCCCCGGGATATCCACAATATTCCAGAGCTTAAGGTCGTCAGCAAACATTAGTGATGACACCCCTAGCTCTCCCAACAAGTCATTTACATAGATCGCGAACAACAATGGCCCCAATACCGAGCCCTGCTGAACGCCACTAAGGACAGCTTGCCTGAGCGAAAGGCTACGCCCCACCCGTACACACTGTTCCCTCCCCTCAAAGAAGGCAGACACCCATTGAAGGGCGCGACCAGATATCCCGTAAGATCTCAACTTTAGTGAAAGCCGAAGATGTGGAACAGTATCAAAAGCTTTCGAAAAATCTACGAATAGCACGTCTACAGCGTGGCCACTGTCTACCGCTTCGGCCCAGCTTTCACGAGCTACAAGTAGATTAGTCTGACATGAAAATTCTTTGCGGAATCCATGTTGCGCAACACTGAGAAGGTTGAATCGATTCAGGTGGTTCTCCACTGAATCCCCTATCAACTTTTCAAACAACTTGACTACTACGCTTGTCAAACTGACAGGCCGGTAGTTCGCGGGTAGAGCGCTGTCACCGCCCATAAAAATCGGACAGATGATTGCCTCCTTCCATTCCGAAGGTAGGATGCAGCTGTCCAGCGATAGTGAAAACACGCATGTGAGCGGACCACTCAGCTCAGTTGCCAATTCATGCAAAAGCTTCAGATGAATTGAATCAGGACCGGAAGCTTTAGAGGGATTAACGCCTTGCAGTAGCTCGAAGACCTGAGTCTCCGTTATGCTAAATTCAGCTAAGCAAGAATCCTCTGGAATCCTTGAAACCAATTCAACCTGGGGTAAAGAGGTCTCCCGAGTAAAGACCCCAGTATACTGATCAGTCAGTATACAAAGTGCGATAACCACAGAATCCAAGGCACAGGAACAACGGCCTCAGAGCATTGCGAGACCAACAGAGTGGAATTGTCACACGTATACAACAGTTAAACGACCTCAATACAAAGGCAAAACCTGGGTGCAACACGGGATTAAACTGGGAAAAACCGGAAAAATTACAAGTAAGCGCCAAGGACGCTTTGCCAGAACCGTCTCAATCGATCCAAGATATCTTGAATCAGAGGAAATTGGACAATAATCAGATTCCGTTAAAAGTGTTTATTCAACCACCGTTTTCCACCATATGTAGCTAAAAAGCTTCATCAGCAGTTCACGCCAAAAATCGAGTTACCGCTCTCTATCATCCAGTTATACAGAGATAAGTTTGATATCCCCCAGACGTTCCATGCCATCAAGTTCAAGTTCAGTTGGGAACGGAACGATAGGATAATCCCGTGGGTTCCTCCTTTTGCGTATCGTCGGATCGGGAATTGACAGGTCTGCTTGAGATGTTGAAAAGCCTAAAACAAAAACCGCATCACACCCTGTCCAACCAATTACTGCCCACATTTTCCTGCCCAGCAGTCCCTGACAGGCCGGTTTATGTGAAGTAAAAGAGTGAAGGATAAGTGAAGAAAACAAAAGGAGGAGTGTCAGCTAAATAATGATAATACCAAGGTGTGAGAAAAAATTTTAAAAAGAACGAAGGGAAAGTTGAAGATACAAGTTGGTTAGGAGAAGGGGAAGGTTTGGTACTGCCGCCCAAAAGCATCTAAATGACGCTTGTAACCCTCAATCGTAGACTCCCTAACGACGCGCTCCGGAAGCGAGTTCCATCCTTCAATAACCCGGTGTGATAAGTGAGTTTTCGTCCTTACCCGGTCAGAACGCAGTTTGTGCAGCTTCAACGGGTGACCTCGGAGACTAGGCAGTTTGGCGGGACTAAATAGTCAGGACAAGTCTGGACCGAACTTACTCGGTAAGATATAGTAAGTGAGGATCAACTCTCCTCTAACTCTGAGGTAGGAAATTGATTACATACCCACTCACAGTCTGTGTG